CATACATACATACATACATACATACAACATCAATTAAAAGTTTTCTAATTGATGTCTTTTAGGTGCTTAGCACTGTGTCTGAAACACTTTGGCCTTTTATGCAATAAATTATTTTCTACCCACGCTTGAGATGCTGTGGCCATTCATTTATTGTTGGATTACCTATAGTATCTACTGTACCTTTTTTCCCTCCTGTATTTTCTAGCTGGCCTGACTTTTTGGAAGGTAACAATACACAGATGTTCCTGAAACTGAGAACTATAGTTTCGCTTAACTTATATCTAAAAAATGACAAAGATGCTTCACTTAACATCATTTTCATTTCAAAATTTAAAATATTCTTATCTAAAATTTAGTAACTTTCTGTCAAATATGAGATATTAATTACCAAGTAAACAAGAAGGCTAGAAAAGTATAAAACTCGAACATGAGATGATGTTATGTCAGCTCTTTGAGAAGAAAAGCTTAGTCCCTTAACCATAGATTGTGCGTCTTGGACAGAATAAAATTCCTTTAAGAGCCTCAATATAAAAATGACATGATTGTGTGAATGTGAGGTCATCTGTAATTATATACCTTGGAAGATTCTTTTAGCCTTAATAGAAAGGTGTTTTAGTAAAAAGAAAGAAAATACCATGAAATGTTGTGCAGCCAAGAGAATGATCTCACAGGAACTTGGGCAAAGTATTTCTAAAAAATTAAAATATGTAAGTGAACAGTTATGCTTCTGTTTTAACTAGAACAGAGACAGAGACATAAGGAGGGGATTCTTTGAATGGAGAACAGCCTCTCACAACAAGTTCTTGGGAAGCTCAGAAAAAGCACAGGATGGATGCTAAAGACACCGCCATATTTTTTTTTTGCCTCCAGCCTCCAATAAATAAGATGCATTGGAAGTGCAAGGAGGAGCCATTTTGATAACTTCCCATCCACAACTCCTGGTCACAAATTTGCTTGTACTTTTATTAAAAAATAAGCCATGTTAGTAGTTATCACAACTCTTCTCTCAGCTCATTTTGGCCTTGAGGGCCAAGAGGCTTCCGACTCCTGCTTCTTGTCCTTTGCTCAGGTTTTTTGCAGAAAAGAATGACAAAAGTGTTGTCATGGATGAGCATCCAGGCCCAAGGTCCCAAGGTCTCCTGGCACTTCAAGCTGGACCCAAGTTAACTCAAAGCATGTTCCCTTGAGGCTGTCACCAAGGCGGAAGAGATGGGTTTCAACATTTTTTACCAGCTGGGGATGGGGGTTGGATTTCATGAAGACGTAGCACGTACTCTGCAGTTTCCATCACAGCACTTTCCCTCCGGTAAAGAAATGCGGATGCCAGAACAGGTTCTTCAAGTTGAGGCCCCTCTGGGTCAAGCCATAGTAGTTTTAATGGTCTGGGAAAATACAGTTGGTTTTATGCTTGTAGGTATTGAGTTAAAAGCAGAATATTACTGACCTTGACCAGAAGTTTCATTCATCTGGCCAGCTGCTGGAAAGGGAAGAAGTTAAACCCTTAGAAGTGGCACAGTCAGTTATCCTATTTTCTGTAATATGAAATCAATTGCAAAAATGGAGAAAAGATGGAGGAGTTGGAGAGGAGGCACTCTATACATGGCATCCTTTGGTTTTGACAACTTCCCGCTGGGAGAAAAAGCTGTCTTCTGACAGAAGGGATACGTATTTTGTGAAAGTTTAGAATTTAGAGCACTTTATTGTGAAGTGGTCTAAAACATTTCTTTTCAACCCAGAGCAAAAACGCTGTGTGCATAATTGGGGCCCTCAAAAAAAAAAAGTGATAAAATATGAGGCAGCAGGGCTTGATCAAAGGATTGGGGAATGGGATGAAAAGGAAATCTGACTCTGCCTAAGGAAAATTCAGAAACAGTGTGTGTGATGTTAAGAATGGACCACTAATTCTATGGGACACCATCATTCCATTTATGAAATTCCTGCCACACAAGCTGAGGTAATTAATAGAAAGGATTGCTAGATCTCAACTCTTAACATTTTAGCCTCCTCGGCGTCCCTCGTGAAGGGATTACATTTCAGGATATAAGGCAAGGACAAAACTTACACTTCTGAACTTTTGAAGACTTTTGAATCAACTTTGTTGGGCTGATGCTGAGGTCTGCAATTCGGTAATGGCCTCACTACCAGATCCTGGAGCCCCCTGGTTCGGTGGCTCTCCTTCACTGAACTTGCTGGATATGTGGCAAGGCAAATGAGCAATAATCTCCAAGCATCTTGTCTTCTTCTTTTAGTGGGTACAAATGGGAACCAGGGGGAAAGGGCAAGAAAATTGGTAAAGAACCCCTCAGGGTCCTTGCTCCAAAGTCCCCCTAAACCTGAAGCTAGCTCTGAATGTTAGCATCCCCACTGACAAGCATTTTCTGAACCTCCCTCTACTGGTGGAAGGAATGAGTTTTCCCCCAAGTAATTATTTTCTACCAATTGCCAGCCAGCCAGCCAGCAAGCGCTCAAGAGTGAGCAGTTGAAGGACAGATGGTGACAATTTTAGTGCCGGTGTGCTATTGAAAAGCTCTCAACTGTGGGAGCATGTCAAGAAGAGACGACAAAGACATGGATTTGGATCCTTATGTCCCTGTCCTCAGACTAAAGCAAGCTTTTATCAAGGCTTCTGAGAATTGCTATCACCTCTTCTGCCAAGCTTCTAATGTTTAATTTTAATCCTGATTTTACCTGTATTAATGTTGTGTGTATACACTCCCCCCCAACAAATATACACACAAACAAACCCACACAGACAGCTGTTGAAGAAGCAGAAAGGTGGCAGGACAGAAATTCAATAAATAAAAATTAGCAAATTTCTTCTCTCCCTTTCAGACCTGGGTTTCTGCATCCCCATCCAGGAGATGGTTGCTGTGAGGCTTGGAAGAGCCAGTAAAAGAAAGGAGGTTTGGGAATCTACTGTGGATGAAAACTCTTTCACAGGTGAGCAAGATGGATCCAAACAGGCAGGTTTATAGCATCCAGGTAGCTGGGTATTATTATGCAGGGTCACAAAAGTCAAATTAAACCAAAACCGAAACCGAAATCTGGGGCAGATGGGTTACAGCTGTGAACAGTTTTGTTTGGTTACATGCTAAGGCTGATTGAAACATCTGTCAGGCGAGTCCATTTTTGTTCAGGGTGATTCTTTTAAATAAGTTGTGGTCCTTGTGTCTTATTCCTTTCACTGAGTGTAGGAGAAGAGTTGAGAGACAACAGACAGTGTTTACACTATGGGTGTCAGATCCAAAGTGTTGCACTTCCCTGGTTTACACACACTAAGCTAGATTTATGGGCTTTGCAGAAAAGATCCAAGGATGAGACTCAATTAAGTTGCTTTCATTGCAGATATGAAATATGCTGTTATATGAAAAAAGATCAGCTATAAAGAATCTAGGAATATAGCTCTGTTTATATGCTTTTTTCTCCCACCCTTACATGGTAACAGATTTTTTTATCACCTGTTTCCCACCCTTGGATATTGAAGGCACGGTGTGTTGTATGAACCGGAGTATCACATTAAGCAATAATACAGCTTCTCTTTGGGGGCACACCATATTATGCGAATATAGTAATTGTGGTTGGTTAATTTGGGCTTAAGAGTTATATGAACTCAGCTAATGCATTCATCATCACCTTTCCCTAACTGTAACCAGGAAACTCAGGAAGTAGAAATTCAAAATTAGAGTCAGTGTAACCTGAAGTTCACTGGGTAACTTTGGACTTTTTACAGTCCAGTCTACACTACAGGATTGTTGTTGGGGGAAATTGGAGAAATGAGTGATTTATATATGCTGGTCTATGACCATAATAAAGATTTGATTTGATTTGATGAGTACTTTGTATACCACTTTGAGCTCCTGGTGAAAAGGCAGGATATATATCTAAGAACTCAAATTAATAGTAACACAATTCTTCAGGACGTTTGCATGCATGTGTAAATAAATGTGCATAATTTCACATGCAAAATTGGCTCATAATGTCCTGAGCAATCACTCCATCTGATCTTACTCATAAATCCTCTAGCAATCACTCTAATGTTCTCCTCCCTGCCCTTTCTCCCTTTCTTTCCAGTTTTTTTTATACAGCGGGAAAAAGGAGAGTATTGGAACCTCGGGGTGCTGGAGTTCACTGCCCCATCCACGTCTCAGCTGGCAACACGCTGGGTCTGTGCCCTTCAGACCTGGATTCATCATCATGGTCAGTTCCTAGCCAAGCTGAAGTCAGGAGAGGTGGAAAGTAGTGGAGCTGCGAAGAGGTGCCTTCCTTGTCTCTTAGAAGACAAGGCATGGCTGCCATGGCAAAGACAGGCAGCATATTAGTGGGTGGGGTATGGTTTCCAAGAAGGGAGCCAGGGAACCTCTCTTAATTGCAAGTGGGGCAATGTAAGCCCTTCAAGGTAAACCAGATCAGGAAATGAAATAAACTGCTCTTAGTTGGTAATAAGGGAAAGATGCTTTGTACAGTACATGCTCAAAGGCCATCTGTATTTTTTTTTTCCTTTTGAATGTCACTGAAAATAAGTCTTGAGTTGGTGTTAAATGAAGTCCTACCCTGCAGGAGGCAACGGCCTGACCTTGTTCAGGCTGGGAAGCTAAGTCAGGTTGAGCCTGGTTAGTAGGTGGTTAGGAGACTATCATAAATACCAGGGCTGAAGACTAGATTCTGGAAGAAAGCCAGGGCAAGCCACTTCTGCACTGTTGCCAAGCAAACTCTACAACTTGAAGGAGACTTTGCCCTAACCTTTTACCCCTGACACAAAATGACACCTAATTGGATCCTCCATCTCATCCTGCAGACATTTGCCTTTCCCTGTCTTCTGCTTCAGGTGTTACACGGCCCAAGAGTCTCCTTGTCTTCATCAATCCAGCGGGAGGACGTAAGCGAGCAATGGAGATCTACCGAAGTCAGGTGGCTCCACTGTTTGCCCTGGCCGGGATCCATGCTCAGACTGTGGGTAAGTCCTGTTGTCTTCCTCCATCACTACCCCTTTCCTTCACATTGTGACATCTTTTATCCCCAGTGGCTTCTAGCCTCTCCTGTTGCTACATCCTTTGTCTGAGTCTTGTAATAAACAGTCTCCTGCTTTCTTCCTCTCTCTGTCCTCTCAGAAACCTGCCATGCGAATGCGGCTCGTGACTACATCCTGCAGCAAGATCTCCGTGACTTTGATGGGTAAGTTTTTGTCGTAGGTTGCCTGAATCTGTATTCCCTGCTTTCTGAGGACATTCATGCCTCTAGTTCAATCTGAGCCATCCATTCAGTTCACTCTATGGCACCTTCCCCAACCTGTTGCTCTCCACTTATCCTGGAACTATAATACCCAGAATCCCCCAGCACAGGATTACATTTGGAGGGCACCAAGTTAGCAAAAACTATTCTTTGGAAGCCAAGTGATCTGCTCCAAGCAGACATTAGGAGTCCCATAGAACAAGGGCTGCAAACCAGATACATCTTCCGATGATTCAAATGAAGAAAAAGGGAGGAAACCCAGTCTAGAACTTCTAGCTAATTCCAAATGCTGCAATTCATTAGTTCATTAATTCATTCACAGCTAGGTTATACAACCACATTTAATGCTTGATTCCACCATAACTAGGCTAAAAGTGGATTTTTAAACAATACAATAGTTAGGAAAATGCTTTCATAGATGTCATTAGATGTTATGAACATTAGAGATTTGATTTAAGATTAGTTCTTGTTCCTAAATGCCTTTACAAACAGGAATGCTTCTGGCCTTGTTTGCAAATTAAAATTATATTTTTTTAAAAAATTCTGAAGGATGTTACAAAAAGGTTTTAAATATATTTAATTATTTTCATTTCATTTCATTTCATTTATTTAAAAGATTTGCATGACTACCCATCTTAAAACACAACTCTGGGCAGCTCACAACATCAATAAAACCTTAGAACTGTCTGTCTGTCTGTCTGTCTGTCTGTCTGTCTGCAGTATCTATCATCAACATAAAACTGTAAAACAAAACCAAAGGCCCCTTGGGGTGCCTTAACAACTAACCCAAGACACTCTCACTCTACCCCAGTGCCTGGGTGAAAAACCAGGTCTTGATGGCCTTCTGGAAGGCTAAAAGGGTGGGGGCCTGCCAAATCATTGGAGAGAGGGTGTTCCATAAGGTAGGGGCAACCATGGAAAAGGCAAACTTCTGAGGTCCCACTAGAAGGCAACATTTCAGGGAAGGAATCTGGAGCATGCCCACCCTATCCGATCTGGTAGGATGGGCAGATACTCTCAGGGAGAGGCAGTCCCACAAATAACCTGATCCTGTGTCATGTAGGACTAAAGGTGATAACCAGCACCTTGAATTGCACCCAACAGGAAACTGGGAGCCAGTGCAGCTCGTGCACAGAGCTGTAATGTGGGTGAACCTACAAAAACCCAGCACTGTGTGCACTGCTGTGTTCTGGACTGGTTGTAGTTTCCAAGTGGTTTTCAACAGAAGCCCTATTAGCACATTGCACTAATCCAAACAGGAAGTTACTAAGGTGTGAGTGACCATGAGCAAGGCCTCCTGGTCTAGTAAAGAGCACAATTGGTGCATAAGAGGAATCTGTGCAAAGGCCCCCCCAGCCATGGCCACCACCTGATCAAGTGGGAGCCATGAGTCCAGGAGGATCCCCAAATTGCATACCAGCTCAATCCGGGGAAGTGCAACCCTGTCCAGAGTTAGAAATGACATATCACCAGACCCTGTGGGGGGCAAAAACCCAAAGCCATTCCATCTTGCAAGGACTGAGTTGAAGTCTCAGATATAACATTTAAATATAACAGCTAAATCCAGTCAAAAGAATTTTGAGATCTCAAAAAAAGTATGATTATTAAAATATAAAAAATGTATACATCATGCGTTTTGCAAGAGCAGAATTTGCCCCCAATATGTCCTGTTCAGGCTACAATTAGGAAGTGATGTATGGCATTTTTTAAACTCCTTTGGGCATGAATCTGACACTGAGCCATTTGGGGTTTAATCAGTGTCCTGTTAACTGCCTTGCATTTTATTACTGAAAGGAGATGAAATAGTGCAGGTAATAATAAATTGTAGAAAAATAAAACGTCTGAGAGCCAGCTTGGCTGAATATTGTTCCCCATCAGAGCTCTCTATGCACAGAGAAGTAGCTTCTGTCATGAACTCTTTTGCCACTTAATTCTACTCACGGTATTAAGGGGTCATGAACAACCCCATAGGATGTTTTAGCTCCACGCCACTCAACGTTATGTTAACAGCCATGGCAGCATCCTTGTCCCTCATGGCAGTGGGGAGAAATGAGGTAATCTCCATTATCGGCCTAGAAGAGGTCCATAAAGGCACTTGCTTCAGAGCCTGACTAACTAGGCTTATACCTCCTCTCCACCCCAGGCTGGTGAGTGTGGGAGGTGACGGCACATTCAATGAACTGATGCACGCCTTAATCGACCGGACCCAGCAAAAGGCAGGGAAACTCAAAGAGGACTTTGATGCGGAGCCTCTGTCCCCAAGACTTCGTATTGGCATCATTCCTGCAGGTGAGGCCAATAGCTTCCCAAAATCAAGACCTGAGGCTTCCTTTAAGAGCTAGGAAGTAACGGCTGAAACTTTAATCCAAGGGTCTGGGGGAAGCAGATAGCCTTCTGAGGTATTTTTCAGCAGCTGGGTGATAGGATGTCTTCTGTTTCTACTCCAGGTTCTACAGATTGTGTCTGCTTTGCAACTGTGGGAACAAATGACCCCGTCACCTCCACTCTGCACATCATTATAGGTGCTTAGCCAACACACACTATCCATCTGTGGCTGTTGAGAGTACGGGTCCTTCAAATTTCTCTGAGTAGGGAATTTTGGAAAGCTAGGTTTGGAAGTAAATCAACTGTAGGGCAAGGTTGAAAATGGTCTGACTCATCCGTGGTCCTGTCCTTCCAACAAAAAAACTGGGATGTCTGCTGGGGTCACTACAGAGTGGGGCCAGCTATTCTGCATTTGTGTTTGAGAGCAGAAACATTTATCTTTCTTGGGAAAAGGCTGTGGGCCTATAGATACCAGCCCACACCTAAGATGGGGTGGGAAAGTGGGGCATTTTCCTTCTGGTCTCTTTTCAATGCCGCCTTTTTTTTCCTTTCCTAGGGGACAGCCAGCCCCTGGATGTCTGCAGCATTTGGCACAATGGGAAGCTTTTACGCTACTCCGTCTCCCTGGTCGGTTACGGTTTCTACGGTGATGTCGTGAGCACCAGCGAGAAGCACCGTTGGATGGGGCCAGTGCGCTACACCTTTGCAGGTATATTTCAGCAGCAGAAGAAAAACGCTGTGATACACTGGGTACAGCAAGCTGGGAGAGGGCAAACATGCAAGGAAAACACAGACCCATAAAATGAAATTATTCTTGACAGGCGTGAAAGAAATCCGGGCTCAGGGGTCCTAGTCAGAGAGCGCTCCTCTGTGCCCGGACAATTTTAAATTCCGAGTCTCAGGAATTATTGAAGTATTTTTGAAAATATGCATGATGCTACTTGAGCAGTGGCATTTTCAAGAGAAAACATGATCATTAATGTGATATAATTGTAGCTTCCCCCAGCTCAGTCTTTTTGGAAAGGCACAGAAACTGTTTATTGCGACAACAGCTGTGATTTCTTTGTCAGTGATCGGATTCCTCCAAAACCGCTCTCACACAAGTCTGCAAATCACCAGCCTTTCTCTGTATCCTCCACCAGGATTCAGCAACCCTGCACCTACTGCAGTTAAAACATGTTTATAGTACTCCAGAATTAAACAAAAGCTATTAAAAACAAAAGAACCCCTGAATTTTCTGCCAGTGGGGGTGGGGGCGGTGTGTGCATGCGAGCATGTATGTGTGTGTACACACCCAGCCCAAACCATGCTTTCAGTTATCTTCTCTTTCAGGAGCCAAAGCAGTGCTGAGCAACCGCAGCTATGAAGGCACTGTGGAATTCCAGTTAGCAACGTCAGAGGAGACCAATCCACGAGATCAGTCGCGCTGCCGGTCAGGGTACGTTGATGGGAAACTGCAACAATCAGATTTACAACAATTGGCAAAGGCCAGGAACACAGCCGCAGAAGCGGGTAGAGTGGCCTTCTCCAGTTCTTCTAATATTTTGGACTATAGCTCTCATGATTCCCAGCTGGCTAGGAATCATGAAAACTGAGCTCCAACCCATTAGGAGGACCAAGTGGGGAATTATATAGGATCCAGTTATAACACCAGTTCTCCTTTCCAGCTGCATGGTCTGTTCTGAGTCTAGCAAAAACCTCGTGGGTGAAAGCAAGGAAGAAAAATTTTCAGAATTCACAAGGCAGACAGGTAAGAGCGCCAGAAGACTTTTCTTTTTCAACCGCAAAAGACTGACACTGAAAATAAGTCTTGCTGTAATCCTTGGGCAAGAAGCTTATAAGGTAAGTAAGCATTAGTATCTCACAACCCCCACCCTCTCCATGCTGGGGCTAGCCTGGGGCCAAGAGGATGTGCCTTGCCCTGGGTCATTAGCTAAACTTTACAGTCTTCAGTTGGACTTCCAGTCCAGTCTTACGATCCGTTTGGCTGCACCAGTTCTCTGTATAATTGCCTGGGCAAGGATGGCTCAGATCTGACAAGCCAGGCTGTAGTGATGTACTGTATGAGAGACGTAAAATCTCCATATCCCGCAGCCACTTCTTGTCACAGAATGTGCTTTTACTTGCAGTTTTTTAAAAAGCAAGCTATACACTTGCACGGGTCTGATTATGTTTCCAGCCCATGTCTTGTTAGGTTGGCCAAATTTGATTTTGGAAGTAGTCTTACTTGTCTGAAGCTGGCTGGCCTTTATCATAGGCATGCCCCATGTAGGTAAGATGGAGATGGCCTCTGTGAACACAGGTCTACCCTGCGATTATTACTTAAAAGCACAGAAGCTTGACTCAGAGGACAGTTTGGGTAGATACCCTGCTCCCTGAATCCTTCCCTTTTCCTCCTCCCCCTCCCCAGGTTATGTTGCCAAAATACATCTGCAAATTGCCAGATTACAGTGAGATGATCTTATTTTTTAAATAAGAAATGAAATAGGTATGCAAATCCCTCAATAGGCTAACTGTACTCCTTTTATGTAAAAAAAAAATGAAAGGGAGGTAGAAAAACCTACCACTTCCTGCTTTAGTGATACATATTGCATTATTGTCATGCCCCATGTAGCTGAAAAAGAAAAGAAAAAGTGTTTTAAAGAAGTGTGGCTTTCACTACCCACCTCCGCCCAGCAAAAAGGTTACTCTGGAAAAAAGGGACTGTTGAAATAGAAATCTTCTAATTTCACCTTGGCTGCCAGCTCGCTGGGTGATCTTAAGCAAGTTCCAGTCCCCTAAATTCAGGATTCCCATTGATTGATTGATTGATTGATTGATTGATTGATTGATTGATTGATTGATTGAACTTATATAGAGGCCCATCTCACATAAAGTGACTCTGGGTGGTCATATATAACAAGGAATAATAACAGCAGCCTGTTTTATAAGATTGTAATGTTTACATAGCTAATGGATTCAGAGTGTTTGAAATGATGAATAGAAATCCTGTTAGTTCATTTGGAAAGGTTATTATGGGGCATCTTTGTCTGCTATCCTTTGGCCACTTGCCATGCACACTGTCTCATGCTTCAGTGACCTTCTTGCTTCCTCGCGATCTCTCTCCTGGAAAAGCAAACTAAAGAAAATGTGCCTGGCAGATGGTTTCTACTTTCAATGCCTCTATTTTGCCAACAGCAGGGAACACAACCAGTCTGAGCTGCTTTGCTTTCTTCCTCAAGGGTGGGGTAGAAGAGGGAGTGTCCTGAGAGCCCATATTTCTACAGAAATAAAATATTGGGCAAATCCTCTGCCTGTGCTTTTGGCAATCACAGACCAGAACTGCTAGATCTAGGCTAATAGGGTTAGCCTGCCTGTCATTAGGCAGCATAATTTCAGAAAATGAGGAGGGCTTGGCTCTGGAAAAAGCCTTGTAGTAGACAAAAAGTAGTAAGAGTTATCTCTTGATAATAATGTTGTCAGGAACAACTCTTACTGGGATCCCTGACTAGCTAAGGAGCTTCCTGGGTGAAGATGCTCAAGATAAGCCTCTTTCTCCTCTCCAGGTGGTGAATGGCAGCAGGTTCATGGTAGCTTCCTGGCAGTCAACCTGACCTGCATGAGCAGTGCCTGTCCCAAGAGCCCCCAGGGTCTCTCACCTTGTGCCCACTTGGCTGATGGAACTGCCGATCTCATTTTGGTGCACAAATGCTCAGTGTTGTCCTTCCTGCAGCATTTGAATCGGCACACCAATTGCTCAGACCAGGTATGGAGAGGAGCCCTGGTGCTATCCTACTGACATGGGGGTCAGGATTTTAAGTCTTCATGGTTACAGTTCTACAAAGAGAACAACTGATAAAATAAGCGCATTTATTCCTGCTCTGAAATGGAGCCCTGTGAAGATTGGAGGGTAGAACTGCCAATCCTCTCATTCCATTTTCTGAAAGTTGGGGGGAGGGGACTGACGAGGGAGGGCTTTGACAGGGGTGGATGGACGGACAGGTCTGAGGGAGGTTCAGAATCCTAGCCTGCCTGGCAAAGCAGGGACAATGCAGTCACCACTGTAACTGAGTCCATCCCCCTTGCTGCTCTTTCCTTCCACCTTTTCCAGCATTAGAGCCTTTTCCAGAGAGCTGAGTCTTCACATAATGTGTCTGAAATAAGATAATTTGAGCCCGGTCACTTGTGCCTCAAGTGAGAACTCTTGGTTGATTGGTCCAATGATCCATCAGTTTGTTTTCGTGGCTATCCACAGTATACTCAGGAGTCTTCTCCAACACCAAAGTTCAAAGGTGTCAATACTCTTCCTATCCTGCTTCTTTAAAGTCCAACTTTTCACTTCTATAGAGTGTCACAGGGAAGAATATACAATGCCCCTTTGGTATGGAAGGAAATTTGGAGGGCTGTGGTGGATCTTTGAGCTTTTTGGATCACATATTCCATGTGTAGCCTACATGTGGTTGTGACATGAAATATGCCAAGATACTTAAATGACTTGACTTGCTGTATTGGATGATTATTTAATTTCCAGATGTGCATTTTAGAGCATTTTGCAAACACCAGCATATGTTTGGCTCTTCTTTTGCCTTTTTTTGGGGTTGGTGAAAATGAATCTCTTTTGCTTCGTTTGTTTCAATAGCATGACTACTTTAGTGGAACAGTCATGCTGGTACTGATGTGATGCTACTTGTAGTTTGTTGTTATCTATGTAAACCTTACATATTGCTTAGCTCCCTGCCTGAGGAAATGTAGTACAGAAATTACTTTTTTGTTATTTACTTTCTAGAAGAGAGGAAGAGCTAGCACATATGTATTTTTCTGTAGAAGATCCTGAATATCAGTCATAAAGGATCTCAGTAATCGGATCTGTTAGTGGGAGCAAAATTGGGGTAGATGAACCTCTGGAGTTCCTGCCCCTCCCTCCCTCCCCATTTATATAGCCACCCATCTCACAAACATGACTCCTTCTGTCACTAGTAGAGTGCACATCTTGCTGAGGGCCATACTTAGCTTTTGAGTGATATTCAGAGGTCTGACTTTAAAAAAAACCAGGAGGGTGGATAAAAACCATGCTAAGTTACAATTAATAAATTTAGAAAGTTCTCCCCTATTGTATTTTGTCTTGTCAAATGAAACATCACACTGGGGACTACCTCCAAATTCCTGGAGCTTGCAAGTTGTGCTGTCCTCCACTCTATTACCAAAGATGTTTGCAACAGCTCCCTCCAAGCTCTAGAGACAAGGGGCTGCTTCTGCTCAGGAGATACAATTGTGTTCCACAGTTTGATCTGCCCTTTGTGAGTGTGTACCGGGTTCGCGCTGTTCGCTTCACCTCCTCCAAAGGGGAGGACTGGCAGGATGGACAACCAGCTGCACAGGAACAGAACATGCTCTGTGGGGGAATATGCCAAGGACGGCCGCCAGTCAGCTGCTGGACCTGCGATGGTGAGACCTTGAACCACACTGACATCACCATTCGGTAGGTCATCTGATGGGGTGGGTCAAAGATTGCTGGGCTGTAGCACAAGGGTGCAGGGAGAGGGAGCACAGTGGGCCAACTTGGACTAATGGACAAAACTTGTATGAAGTTTAGGACTCTTTCAGTGGAACTCTAAAAGGAACACAGCAATAACTGGTAACCCAGAACGAGACTGAAGAGAGCTGGGCAGTAATGAGTAATAGTAGTAACAAGGCAGAGCACTGGGAGGTGGAAGAAGAGGGGGGAAAGCTCTGAAGGCTTGGTCTGGCTAGCAAGCTCTCAGAAAGATGGAGGGGGGGCCTTCCAAAAAGGGTACAAATCTTGCACGCTGGTTCAGATTTGCCCACTGGATTGCAATGTTTAAGGTAACAGAAGGAGGACATTATTAAATGCATGGGGAGTGATCACATTAAATGGAGTTGCTGTCCTAGCACTATCTACTTTTTAGTATGCAGGTTCCAGCACCCCACCAAGGCGGCCAAATGTGACATTTGGCTTGAAAAATGTTGTGCAGCCCTGGCCTAGAGAAAATACCAACTGGAAGGTGTATCTTATAGGTCTAGGAGGGAGCAGCTTTATGTTGCAAATTATACTGCAGTCACTATTCTATCAGCGCTTGTTCTGATCTCCTCTCCCCTTAGAGTACACGGGAGTCTCATCCATCTCTTTGCCCGTGGAATTGAACAGGAGCCCAGCATATTCTAGAAGCTTTCTGCCCAATGAATGACCTGATGGAAGGCAAGTCTACTGCTGAAGACGTCGGACCACGGCCTCAAGAGAGTTACTGCCTAATATGTTTATTTATTAGGAATTGAACCCAAGAGGCTCAAGGATAGAAGCTGGGCTTGAGAGAAAGTTCAGCTCCAATTATCAGAGACGGCCTCCTCCGTAGAGAAGTGCTGCCCCCAACTCCTGTCTGAGGCTGCTGCCTTGTCCTGGGGGAAGGCAGAGGCATGGATGCTAGGTTGGCTGCACAGATCCCAGGTCCTCTGCTCCCGTATTTTATGGCCTTCAGGCCAGCTGCAATTGTGCAATACTGAGATTCAGTTGCCCAAATAGGTGAAGATTAAGCCCAGCTAATTGTTACAAGTAGACTTAAGACCTCTCAAACATACACTGCTCTAGAGACACAGAATGATGAGGGAGTTTTTGTAATAACTTTCATTTACAGAACAGCATCACGTACAAAATCCAAAGGAGACTGAACAGGAATGTAAGAAGTAGTTGCAAGTGAAAGCAGAGCTAGTGCAATTGATAGAGCAGCATATGTAGATGAGGAAGGATGGGGTATTGGAGAAAAAACCTCAGCACTTCCCCACACCTTGAGAAGTTTTCCCAGTATAGCAGCAGAAACAGAATGGGTCAGTAAGCTTATCTGATGCCAGCCCTTCAAAGGGAATTGAGATACAGAGGGTATCTCCTACACAAAGTCCGCCAAGAGGGCAGTGAAGAAGATGCTGTTCACTCCACACTGAAGAGACTCCACTGAAGCTGGAGTACACCAGTGCCTAAGCCCAATAAGTTGCTCCCTCAGGCAAGCTGAGCATGTTACAGTCTTTGGATAGGACATGGGGAGGCCACTGCCCAGCCCAGCCAGCTCGGTTTCTCTGGAGAGGTGTGGAGTCGAGCCATGGTTGCCATTTCAAGAGGTGCAGGCTGGCAGGATTCAGAGCTTGTGAGGATTGACCCACCGGTAGGTGCCTTCATACTGAAATCCAACTCTCTTCATCAATTCATCAGCCTCTGCAGGGCCACGGCTAGAAGATTAAAGCCCCCCCCCCATTAGCACATCTGGAAACATGGCCATGAGCAAGCCTCACCTACACTCATGGGTTTCAACTAATGACTGTTTCTGATTCTGTACTGCCCCTCTTCTCACCTCCTGAGGAGCTGGGAAACATAATTAATAGCTTCTTCAATGATCCAGAGATGACTGGTGTGCTGTTTTCATTTCAGTGAAATGACTGGAATTCACAACAGTCCTTTACATTTCATCTGGCCTAAATCTCTCTTCCCTCCTCCCCCACCACCTCTGCCCACCATCTCCTGTGTGCTCTCAGGATCCAAGAGAACATGAATGCAGAGGGGCCAGGCAGTCTTGGCACTTGGGTACCTGCTCTGTGTCTTCCTTGATTCTACCATTGGGCCAGCCCTGGCCCCAAGCCTTTGTTTAACCTTGTCATGTGACAAGGATCTATGAATGTGTCCTAGGGTAATCGTTATGGGAAACTAGTGCCTGGTACCTTGAAAAGTGAGTAGGGATATCAGAATGTCTTAGATATTCTGTGGGATATGAAAGCAGGTCAAGTCCATTGCAAAGGCCCGTATGTCATCTGAAAGAGAACCCTGCCCTGTGATGGGAGAGCAAGACTATTTCTAGAAGACAGAAAAGGCTAAGAATGAAACTTCTGTATTTGTACAGGATCATGTGCAAAAGGTTTGGGATAGTGTGTCATCTCTATAGTCCGCTTTTCAAAGGACGCACTGCTGCCCTCCCAACAACCTGCATATTTATTTAAAGCATGCCCTGCAATCTTTTCTAACCTCACCTGCCATAGCAATATGGAATCGGTTTTGTCTTCTCTGCCTCAATTTTGTGGAGTAGCGGAGTGAATATACGCCAGGCCTCTCGCAGCTCGTCACTGAAGGAGAAGGCATCAGGGTTAGGCTGGGTTGTAGAAATCCAAAGAAATGCTAGAAAAGAGTTGCTACCAGGCCAGGGAGGACTGGGCATAACCTCCACTAAGTATCAGATCAGATCAGCCCATTCTGGGTGTCAATCTGCAACAGTAGTTCAGGGATTTCAAACTAAAAGGAACTATGCCCTAATGCCCTATGCACATCAGAGATACGCATAACCCGCGGAAGAAATCTAGTGAAAAAATTAGGGGCCAAGTGCTACCAGGAGTTTGGAAAATACAGCAGCCCTGTTGAGACAGGACTTCGGTTTTTCTCCTAAAGGTGTCCTGATGACCTCCCCACACGCACCTGCGCACAAAGTGCATCTGGCTGCCACAGAAAACATCCAGGATGAGGCGCTCGTAAGCATCTGGGAGTTTCACATCCTGCAGAAAAGGATAGAAATAAGATGTTAAGCATTGCATGCTGTAAGATTGCCTATTCCTAACAATTAGCTCCGGAAATAAAAGCATTTAAAAGCAGATAGCACTCCTTGACTATGAAAGTGCAATGTTAAGAGGTCTAACATCTAACACATGGTTACACAATGTAAAGCGATGACTTCCATGTCTGAAAGTGTCACTGCAATATGCCAGGATTCACATATTAAGTTAAGCCATACACCATACTTTAGAAGCCCTGATGAAGGGGTTCACATCCTGCCTACCCAAAATCAAACTAACCACATTTGTGAATCCAGTCTGTCTATTGAAAGACAACAAAGATATGTTTTTCAAAGGATATCCACATGTTTGTAAAGATGCTCTAAATTCCTAGACCTTCCTGTGGGGTGCTAAATAGATGGAGGTATGTCTGAAAATATGCCAGCAATAATTTAACTTATTGAGATAGAGAACAACAACTATATGCTCCTTAGGTTTCTAGTCTATACAGATATCACCTCCCCATCACCCTATATATTGCTACCCTGGTATTCAAACCAATCAAACTATGCAGCCATTTACTAGCCATGTTCATGCAACATGCCTATCCTGGTTATTGAGTTAGCCAATTTTATGGGTTCAAACAATACATTGAAATATTAATTAACCAAACAGGCTAGGTTCATAAAATACATTAACCTAACAATTCCACTCCCCTCCCCCATCATCTAATGAAGCTTAGCATGTTGTGTGAATAAATTGGATAATTGTATTCTTTTGTTGACCAAGTTTAGCATGTTGTGTAAGCACAACCATGGACATTCAGCTAATGTGTACCTACTTGTCTATATAGCAGGCACCTTGAACCCTTATAAAAATGTATTGCTTATACTTTCCTTGGGAGATAAAATAACGTACCTTGTAGCGGTTGCCATAAGTGAGGTCCAGCTCAGATTCTTCTGGGTTGAAGAACATGCCTGGTTTCTTGGTCATCATCTTGGTGTAGACGGCCTCGTTAGGCTGCACACGGATCACCAGTTCATTCCGTTTGCACTGGTGGTGGAAGATGTCACCTGGTACCTCCCGGAACTGCAGCCGTACCTCTGCCTTGCGTTCATTCAGTGCCTTGCCACAGCGCAAGACAAATGGTACTCCTACAGGGGGAGTATTAAATAAGCAATGAGATAGAAGGACACCCTCCCCTCCACAAAAATGTAACACTATTTTCCCCCAGCTCAAAACATGTTTTCCTTTGGCTGGTCCTTTGCTGCATGGTCATACTCACCATCCCACCTTTCATTATCCACGTACAACACAGCAGCAGCAAAGGTAGGGGTGGTAGAGCCAGCTGGAACTGTGGGGTCATCAAGATAGCCCTTCTGAGCCTCTCCTTTTCCAGATGGATTGCCCACATACTGAGCAAGTACTACATCTTCACATTTCACTTCTGAGATGCACTTCAGAACCTTCACCTAACAGAAATACACGGGGAGAGTCCAAGATCACACATCACCAGAAGTGAATTGAAAGGGGTGGAGGCAACTGCATCAGTTCCAAGTCTCAGTACAAGTAGTCAACTTAGCAAGGGAAATTATATGTGACCAACATGCAGGTTTTCCAATTGGCAGGAAGATACACTTATGCACATGTTATACATACAGAGAAACGGTCTCCAGCTGAAAATGACAGTAATACTGAATGTTTATCTTGACTGAAGGAACCTTTAAGGGAAGAGAATTTAGCAGAAAGAACTGCTCCAGTTTGGTCAGCATTGGTGTTCAGGTCATTATGAGACACTCACTTTTCTGGGTTTTTTTGTTTTTTTTTTAGAAGAGATGAAAATGTTTTAGAAAGATTTAGTCTAGGTGCTTTGTAACTCATTCCTATTTTAGAGATAGATCAGGGATCCCCTGCTTTTAGGCCACTGAGCGTGTCTGAACTTTGAGAACACATCACAGGTATTCTGACAAAATGGCTGTTATAGCAAACATGGCTAGACACAAAATATCCAAGTTATTTAAGGAAAATTGGTAAAGTTGCTCCTTGCCATCTCCTGTAGCTCCCTCCTCTGGAGACATTCCATACTAACCCCACATAACCTTTGTCTTTTTTCCTGGGCAGATGGGCACATACCCAATCAAGGGACTGAGATGCAGCCATCCATGAGTTTTTTTTTAAATCTAATGCCTGTGGGGTCTATGTGGGATCCAGAAGCATCCTTGGAAATAAAGATGATGCTTGAAGCTAACACATTGCTTTATAGTTCATTTAGTTTTGTAATTAAAAGAATCTAGAAAAATTAAACCTAGGAAGCTCTGAGCCTAAAATGAGCAACAAGGGAAGCATTGCCAACAGATGGAAATCTAAGAAGGCTCAGTAGAGTGAGCTGCAGGAAGTAGCAAAATGCAGCCTTGCCCATAGGCACTGAGTCAGAAGAACCAGGGTCCTACCTTCTCATCACGCACATCATCTGAGTTGGTAGAAGTTGGTTTCTCCATGGCTACCAGACAGAGCATCTGAAGAAGATGATTCTGCATAACATCCCTACAGAAATAGCAAGAGCATGTTTTGGTTACAACAGTGCACAACTTATCATCATCATCATCAGTGGGTAATCTACAGTTAGAATCACAGTCTAAGACTGGTGGAAACTTAATAACTCAAGTCCTAACCAAGGACCTAAGAATTATTAAGGTAGTGTCTAAGAATATAGGCAGTTCCAAGCAGGGTGTTTTTTTATAAAATTAGTGTGCTCAGGTCCAATAAATTCAATTATTTCCAGATATTGAGGGAGTCCTTTAGGTATTGCTTCAAGGGCTGCAATTACTATTGTTGGTCACACATCAGCCAGTCGTGTAGACTGGATTTGACATTTTTATCCACCTTCCCAAGGACCTGGGATAGGCAGATGTTGTTGTTTGATGGTGTTAAAGGTATCATTGCAGGATATAAGCTGTTCCAAGTAAAGCTGTCTTG